TAAGAATCTTTAATTTTAATTTAAGCGTTACATTATCACGAAATTGTTCGCATATTCATTGCAAGTTTGCCATGTTTCTCAGAGGAATAAATTAATGAGTTGCAAGCTGTAAATTATTTTAATAATATACTCGGATATATCTAGTTGAGATATAAAGAAACAAAGATAAACAAATAGAAAAAATCATCGTAAGAGTATCCAGTTGTTAAACATAGTAAATTTACTTAATTCTTGACAATATTTCAATGACTTCTTAAACTTCATTGAAATATTCTCACACATAAAATCATAAAATTGGCCGGATAATGTAAATTCATAAATAATAATCTTTATAATGTAAATGTATTCATTAAATGAGTCTATCATACTTCTCTCTCTCTCTCTCTCTCTCTCTCTCTCTCTCTCTCTCTCTCTTCTCAAGATTTCTACTTGATCCTCCATTTCTTCCGACTGTAAAGTTTCGAATGAAGGCGGAGTTGCGCAGCACCATTACAATAACGTCTTCAATTAACAAGTTTAAAAGCAACGAAGAAGCATCCCTACGACGAGTCTGACGTCTTCCATTTTGCATAGCCGCGGCTTCGCGACTGAAAGAGGTCGAAGTGGAAGTGCTTCGGAAGTTCGTCAGATTCCGTAACGAAGGCAAGTCGTGACGGCGTTTCGTTCCTCTCAGAAGAGAAAGAAGAAAGTCTTTCGATTTTCACTTCACTACCTTCCGCTAATCACTCGTGACGAGGAAGTCATAAAAAATGAAAGAAAGAAAAAAAATAAGGTCGCTTTACGAGTACACGGAGATGGGGCAGTGGATATGTTCGCGAAAGGGCTACGCTTTCCTACGCGTCACGGAAAGCATTGAGTTCGCGAAAAGTATGTATCACGCAAGCCAGCCTTGTTACCTGGTGCACGCTGGTGCGTTCTAAGCATAACAATACTCGTGGCTAACCTGTTCACTATCATAAAGCGAACGAACTGACTGACAGCTGAAAACTGTCCCACGATCAGTGTGAGTTCCGCGAGACGACGCTTCTTCGCGTTCGATCATAACGTTCTCTCGACTCGTTTCCGAATCGCGTTTCGGGAAACCAGGACGTCGATCGATTCGATCAGTGTAATTTACATGAGAAAATTGACACTCTCTGAGAGTCACAATCATATGCCAACCTACGCCTTGAGTCGCACCTTCACATGTTAGACTTAGTTTGAACTGTGTTTGTTTTGGAGATGATATTTTAATCCGAAAAACGTTTCTTAACTTTGAATTGGCACACGGAAAGAAACGCTGAAATATTAAAAAATTTATAGATACTGAATTAAAAATAATTTTTTCGTCGAATTATCAAAATAATTATGTAGAAGGCTCAAGATGGTCGCTAGAAAATCAAAATTTTTTGCAACATTATTCATTACGTTTGAGCTTCCTGCATAATTATTTACAGACTTGATCTTTTAAGTGATCTTGCAGTTATAGCGAAAATTATCTAAGCTAAAATAAATAAAGTCTAGCAAGTATTGCGACATTGGATATATGTCTAATTATATGACAGAGATAGAATTCAAATTTATGTTATAAATTCTATGCGTATGATACATAATTTTCTATCAGTTACAAAAAACAGCGATAATTCTAGCTGGAGCAGCAAAATATTTCTTTGCATGATATAGTTCAACAAAATTATTTTCAGGTCTGCATTTAGTTAAATTTTTAAATACTTCAAGCAAAACTGTTCTTTCCGTATAGAATTCATTGCGATTGATTTTGGAGATTAATTTCCGAACAAAGAGATCAAATTACACTTTAATTTCGAATTATTAAATTCTTCGAAATTATTAATTCTTAAACGACAAATATTGTACGTGTATAATATATGTAAGTAATTTAATAAATTTTGTCTTATAATTTTTGTTGCTTGCTTCACGTATGTTACATGACAACTTGCCTGTCTTGATTCTGCGGAGATTAAAGATTTTTTATGTTCTCACGGCTTCGCAGCGCGTGTATCATGACGCCTCTTAAATATGCAAGATGCGTTGTCGTCGACATCATTGCCGATAGATTTACGCGTTAGGATAATGATATACATTGCAGTATAATAATATAACTTCCCATTTAGTCGCGTCGCAGGGCCGTAAAGTGACCTGCAATTTAATATGCTGAGCACGCGTGCTGTCGAACCTTCCCAAGTTGCCAGTTATATGCGTATGTACGTACGTACGTACGCGCGGGATAATCGGTGAGAACCGAGAAAGAGCAAAGGTTACGAGTGGACAGCAGTCGGTCTTGAGCGGTGGCACAATGCCGAGAGATTTCTCCTGAATGTTGCTGCCAGGGACAAGTCTCCGTGAGTCACGATCGGCGATGACCTATGAATATACGATAAAACGTAGCCGAAGGTCTTTCCGACGCGTACGGAGCTCATTCACACGCAGTTACGAGGCTCTATACTTGACGTTCGATACGCAGCAATCTGGTATGTTTATTAAAGTGTTTATCGAAATGCCAATGTACCGCCCGATGAATTTCTTGGACGCAGATAAGAAGATATATAAATATATAAATATACGTAATCGTTCTCTTAATTTTGATGATAGATTCGTTAGTAAATTAATCAATTTTTTTTTAGAAGAAGATAAATCGAAAAGATTATTGGACGACAAGAATGGCTGTATCTAAAAATTTTGCTAGATAGGGTTAGAAATAATTTTATTGGGCAATAATAAAAATAAAATAATTATTTTCGTTAAAATAATTATGTAAGATACTTATGAATAATGTTTGCCACTTTAGCAACTAATTTAAGTGTCTTATAATTATTTTCATTAATTATTTTATTAGTCTAATAAAATTATTTTTAGACCTGTATCTAGTTAATTTTCTATTTACTTTAACAAAGCTATACTTTTCGTGGTATTATATGAGATGACAATGTTAAATACTGCTTAAAATATAATTTCATAAAAATAGATCTTTTAGAAATTGAAATATTGAACTCTGTATTATGAATTCCGCTTCAATGTAAAATAAGTTATTCAACCTAAAATAAACTATTACATTCTTTTCTAATTCTATCAATTCTAATAATTAGCATGGAGTTGAATAAGTGCAGCTGAAGGGCTTCGAGAGCAATTTTCTAGACGTCGCTAGAAGGTACAATTCGGCTCTAATTCGATTATCGCCGACGACAAGCGGTGGGTCGTCGGGCTCGCTTTCCATTTTTTTATTGTTGCTTCAAAGGGGACTACCGACTGACATATTTTTGGGAAAGGACGCATTTCGAAGGGTGGTGCAAGGTAGAATAAATCCGGCAGGGAATTGCGTACCTGTCGGTATATCGGAAAAAGGGGTCGGTCGCGTCTCCAATGTTAGTTCTCGCCATCATAAACTCATTCCTATTCTTCACTAGGTAGTAGTGTGAATCACGTCGCGCGTCACATTTGTGGTTTTACGGCTTTTTCCAGAATTTTAAGGATCGCACTAAATGACCGAGAAAGAATTCAATGACATCCAACTCACGTTTCATTTTTAGTTTCTCGATGGAATAAAATAGTTTCCTTTTGAAAATAAACGGTGCAGCGAAATAAAAGAGACAATATTGCGACATTGTTCGAGTATCTTGAGCAAAGTGAGTTACAAGAATCGATGTAAAAAAAGGGAGACTTTGTAGTCAGGATAATAAAAAAAAAAAAACAATAAAAATATCAACAAAAAAGCATCAATTTAAAATTTTTAACAAATACAGCTAATAAAAAATTTGATAACTACGAAATGTGTTTAAGAATGTATGTGTCACAATTCAAAGCATTATCAAAAATATATAAATTTTATAGATTATCTATTACATTTGAATATCTGTGTTAAATTTGAGCACAATTCGTAGCACTTACTTGCAAACTTGATAAGGAAATAGCAATACGAGTAAAATCAAATTTTTTATATGTATACTAATAAAATTCTAAAAGTTATTTACGTAAAACTGTAACGAAATGTGGTAATTTACTGTACTGCATAAGCCATGAAAAGCCAAATAACAATTTATTTTGTTTTTTTTTTTTTGCAGTTTTTAAGACATATTTAAAAGAAAATTTTTTACCGACAATATTGACACTTTTTGGTTGATTTTTTAGCTGGGATTTTTATTGCTATTGTGCTGGCAAAATATTCTTAATTATTTATTGAAATAGAAGTTTCTTATAATATTATTAATTCTTAAGCATACATTGTATTAAAATGTTATACTTTTTCAAAATTGATACGTTTGGAAATAAAAATCAGTCAATTAAAAATTAAAATACAAAATTAATATTTTTGTCATCTTCTAATTTGTTGCATCACTAAAGATTTTTCATACAAAACCGTGCTCGTTACTTATGTATTTTTGCAATCTAATTGCATTTTGCATTCTTGTCTCGCACAGTTGTGACATCGCTGCTACTCCAAGCGTTCTACGGAAGAGAAATCAGCGCTGAGGCTCTAAATACCTTTCGTCTCGATATCATCGCCACTCACTTCTGGAACACCCACCGTTCATAATGGTCGAACGATTTCTGGCTCACGCTCCGCTTCCGATCGCGCGTCTCGCGACGGCGAAATCGCGTCCCGTCTGTCCTACGTTCCGAGATTCCCTCGGTCTGTCGCCTCGTGGAACGACCGGTTGACAGTTGACACCAGTTTGACAATGCGCTGTGCTCTGCCATTGTTGGAAGCCGCGTGAGCGTGCCGGATTGCCATTGTTGGAGCGTCGCGACGCCTTCGTTCTCTTCCTTCTCTCTCGCTCTCATTCCCTCCTGTCCGCTGGTCTGATCTCTTTGTTATAAATAGCACATTTTGATTCCTATCTCTGTTTCTCTTCACCCACGTGAAAAAATTATACTTCTTTTGTCATAATTTAATTAGGTGCTCATTTCGCAAAACTTTCACTTTATTCCAATAAGGTGTCCTAATCTACAATACTTCTGTTTCTTGTTTTTTTGCTTATCTGTTTTTTTTTTGTATTATGTTGCAGAGATAAAAATTAAATGAACTTCGAAAGAAACAAGGAACACGTGGACAAGAAACACGGTTGTCGATCAAACGGTTGCAAAAAGGAAAAAAAGGAGAGGTAAAAAAAAAAATATTCGATAACTAAACTAATGCCTCTAATTTTTTAATCTAATCTTATGTTTATCTTGGAAGTTTTATCTTAGTTTTTCCTCGGTCGACCTACATTTGTCTATTTCGGTGTGTATCTTCTTGCGTTCGCATTTGCTAATTTAAATTTAATTTCGAAATTTATTTATTGTACATTGCGATTTTTTTTGAATTACTTTTATTTTTGTTTTATTACACATTTAAATTAATCTTGTATCTATAATAACTTGATTTGAGACAAAAAGGTTTAATTAAAGGTTTAATCACGCGAAGCATAAAATCAATATAAATTATAAACATAGTGCAGTCTAATATAGATTTCTATTTTTACATGTTAAACAATTTTCAACACTGCACTGAAAAAAATTGTTTTGATTAAATTGATTAAATTGATTTAATTCGTCTTTATTTCTTTCGATAAAGAACGTACGTATTTAAGTCAAATATAATATGTTTAATTTAATTAAAACAAGTAAAGACAAACGAGAAATTAATTTATTCAAATGTATAATATTTTTCTCAATGCGTTCCTCCGTGTTGGCTCGAATCTACCGCTTCTCTCCATTCGCGTTTGTTATTTTCATGCTCGTGCTCTTTTTCTCTTTGCACTTGTCTCCTTCTAACCCGCCGTACACGTGTAAGTGAATAATTCAGTGACAGAGACACAGCCGTCCGGAATTCGCGTCGTGCCATCGCTGTCGACCGCATACGGACCCGCAGCGACAAGTTACACAATGCTGGCGTGACGCGCCCCTCGATTTTTCGCTTTTTATGCGCGGGGGTGGCGCCGAACTCCATTGTGGCCGAAGGGGTTCCGGCCCGCGGGGGAGCGTCGCGACACGCGGGGGTGCGCGATCGGTGCACCGTAAAAATTGAAACGGGGCTCGCGTGGAAGCGTCACGTCGAGAGAACGAATGACAGGATATCCTTCTCATGCGGTAGTTTGCGTTGAATATCCCATATCGTAACCGCTCCGACTGGCGGGATTTCGATACAAAAATATTCCGATAGAATGGAGACTTTGCCAGAAAATATAAAATCGGATTTGTCTCTTGAATTATAAATTCGAAGTCGAGACGTTCTATTTTTCTCGTGTCTATTTTATTTTTTTCCTTAATAATCTTTTTTTCTTTTTAACAAAATATTTAACGTAACGAGTCGAACAGTATAAATCGGCTTTTTTTTCTCTCTTTAAAAGCTAAACCTGTGATCACGCATTAAGTTGATCAGTATTGCACGGTTTTCTGTACGAAATCGGACTTGCGAGCATTTTATTTAAAGCCGACTCCGTTGATGGAGCCTCGTTTTTCCGTCGTCGTTAAGCTCGTGTGCTCGGCCAACGATCGATCTCGCGCCTGCAAATAAACCATTCGCGAATTAAAAGCGAACGCAGTCGGCGAGCTTGCGGATGATTTCGGGAAGCGGCAGATGCGCCAACGGGTTACTTGTTGCGCCTTCGAATTGCGATAATCGTGATGGTATTTAAACTCTAATGGGAGAACATTCTGCAAGCGCATTCACGAACTGGTCCCGAGTAAGTATATTCATCTTGAAAGAGAGATCTCAAAAGTGTTGAGAGTGAATGGAACGATATCTCTACAGATATATTACAGATACTATCTGAAATATTACCATCATGACACATCTCTTCTCTCGCTAAGAGTAAAGTTGCCACGCTGAAAGCCTCGATATTTCAGGAGCAGGTCGAATGGGAGGAGGCGCGCAATAATGTCGAGTTCGAGATGTTGGCCCTCTTCAAAGAATCAATTAACGTTGTCTGATTGCTCCAATAACACTAATTGATTTGTCGAAGAAGAGCAACGTCCTCGCCAAACGAGTGTTGTTTGGCCGATCCCAGCGCGATCTCAGTGCGAACGAAAAATCAACGGCGGAAAGGCGGTAACTGAGACGTCAATCGCTGCACGATTCACGATTTGGGACGACACGCGTGAGACGACACGCGCGTGCATTTGCGCGACGTTGACGGAACGTAGTCGTCCGCGAAACCAGCCAGCCAGCCAGCCAAGCCAGCCGAGCCAAACAAGCTATCCAGCCAAGCCAGCCAACACGCGGATGCACCTCGCCGCGTTTGATAATGCATTAACGCCGGTGGATCAGAATATTAGCATAGCATACGCCCATCGCATTTGAATTGAGAGGCAGCGGCCCCACGGTGTATAAGCAGAAGCGAGGAGAAGGCGTCCCAACGTCTCTTTGTCATGCTAATACGGCATCCATCCCGACCGGGCGGCGGCGGCGGCGGCGGTGGCGACGACGGCGGTTCCGACGCAGAGAGAGACGATGACTCTGCATCGTTTACGCTCCTGTTGCGGCTTCGAACGCGCGTTGCCGCGCGCGGTTCCAGAAACAGGGCCGACGGCCGCCTTCCGGTCTCTCTCTCTCTCTCTCTCTCTCTCTCTCTCTCTATCATACACTCACGCGTTACTCATATATGCCTACATACACACAAACAGATTTTAATTCGCTATAAATTTTATTTTATATTTTTTAGACTAAGCCTTACTTAAAATCTCTTTAAAATCTTTCAAGTAGAATCTCACTCTAAAAAGTGAAAATTAAGCCGATCTTAAAAAAGAGTAGCTCAATTTTCAATCTTTAAAGAGAGATTTCACTCTTCGGAGTGAGATTTTAAAAGTTTTAGAAAGTATGCATGTACTTTTTGTCTGCTGCTTGAGGGAACTGTCACAAAGCGCTCAGTAAATACGCATTTTCTCTCTTTCTTTCTCTCCAAATAATAATTCTGTTCTATTCTGTTGACTTCTGTCTATGAATCTCTTCTACGATATCATTCCATTCGGAAAGCTGTCGCTACTATTTGTAAATAGGCAAACGCTTCTCCGTCACTGATCCGCGCCAAATCAAAATAAGAATGCACAATTAAAAGCAAAGTGATTCGGAAGAAAATGTAATAATAAAGGTCGGAGAACGCACGTATCGATACGAATAGAAAAGAATTTCTGCAAGCATGGATTTCGCCGCAAATCATTAAATTGATTTGTTGGAATTAAAATATTTTGACGGCAAAAAGCTGAGTTTCTAAACTCTGTGAGAGATGCGTATATCTAATTGACTATCGAGACCCGATATCTTCTCAAGCGTAACGAATTAATTTCAACGCGGCTACAGCGAGGAGTTTCTACGACTGCAAATTCATACACTCGTAACAACTCGTAACAGTATTTCGAATTGGATGATACAGCCGTACGGCGATCTTCATTCCTTTTCCTGACGTCTATCGTCATTTCAGAAAGAGGGCAATGGCCTTCCGATCTGCATGAATTTTCTACGATCGTTTGAAGCCTGAAGACCGTAACGTTCCTCGTGATCGCTGACGCTTGCTATATAGTGGAATAAGTAAGAAGAATAAGAAATAGAGGCAAATTGATCCATCCTGAGCTACGCGTATAACAGATCGTTTTCTGATGAATTCTTCCTCTTTTGATGTATCTTTTTTAGAGAAAAAACTATTTCATGTTTGTAAAAAACTTATTACTAGCGATATCGTAATAAACGTGTTCTTCTAAATACGCTAAAAACACAAGTAAAGTACAATCAATAATTGATAGAAGAAAATTATATCGATTTCCGTTTATAATAATTCACTATTCATTCTAACGTAATATAAAAAGTTACTGATTTCGATTATGTAGATCTAGTGTTATGTAAAATAAAAAAAAACATCAATTCCACTATTTTTTCGTTATTATAGCGCCAACTTACTTGATGCTTCCAATTCTCAGCGTGATATTTTCTTGGAATTTTTTTTTTATCATTAAGCGATTATCGCGATTCACAGGTTAAGAGAATAAATAATATACTATTATCTACAATGTCGTTAGAATATTTTCATGATGGAATTGATACGTGCGCCTCGCGATGCAAATATTTCTGTAGAAGGGATCGTGTCGAGGAGTCGTGGTGACGTACGGTAGTGAGAGGCGAGAATAAATCGATGTATTGGCGATAGAACGTCGTCAGGCATCCAGGCGTCATGATCAGAGAGGTAGTACGTCGATCTACACGATCGCAATTAATGGCTCGCTGGTATCGTGGGATAAATGTCTCTGCTGTGTGTCGTCGATTGCATACCTCGGAACAGATGCTGCGGGCTAGAATGCTGATGCAGCGATCGTTTGAGAAAACACTTTCGATAGTATTGTCTAGAGGAACGACTAAAAAAATTGCATCAATCACTATTTAAAGCGCAATCCATCGCATGATTAATTTTGTAAAATTAATCCCCAAACAATAAAAACGCGTATAAAAAAAAAGTATTATTTTTTACAGTGCACATCGATATTCGTTTTGAGCCGAATAGTTTTAAATAAAAATAACCATAATAGATAAATCTTTATCTTCAGAAATATTATCTATTAACTGTCAGCGTCCGGATATGCGATTCGATTAGAAATAATTCTCTCCATGGCGAACGGGCGTCCGTTTAAAAGCCGCATCGACGCTTTCCCTCCATTTACATGAGTTCGCCTCGCGCAGTATATTAATTCCATCGCGCGCGGGATTAATTCTTCGGGATTAGTCACGGCGATAGCCGATTGATGCGATCAGATAAAGCTGCCGATAAATAGCTAGATATTTTGCACACAAACGAACGAGCGGATGAGCGCCGGTGTGACGCACCGTCGCCCTCGCCGTTATATACGTTATATTGTAGCTCTATCGGTCGCGTAAACGCGCGAATAATTGCTCCACGTTAATGATAGGTCAACCTCGCCATGTGATGCGTATGATCTATGACGTATTAAATTCCGCGCGACCTTCGATCTATCGGCGAGGATCGTCGATTCTTAGGAGTTACCGCGGTATAAATCACTCGGTGGAAAAGGGAACGCGCTTGTCGTGAAAAGTAATTGATTCTTTATCGGAGGAGACAGTCATGATCGCTCATGCGAATGACACAGATTAAGAGATAACGCGAGAGTATTCGTGATT